GTTGATCTTGGCAGACCTCAAAGAGCAGGTCACCAATCCTGATCGGCAAACCGCCAAGCCTGTGCCAGCTGCTGAAAGGCAGCGCCGTATGGAAATCTTAAAGGCACGTCTCGTTGGGCTCCATGTCGGCGAGTCCTTGGAGCCAGGGCACGCTCTTCTCGACCTGGCGGCCAAGATCGAGCAAGAGAATCAACTGCAGCACATTCCTGCCGAGAAGTGTGTGTCTCGTGTGCACGAGGTCCTTAACAGCAAGACTCCCAGCAAGATTGTTGAGCTTGAAGCCTCCAGGCTCGTCGTCAAAGAGGAGCACTCGCCCTTAGAGCAGCCTGCCAACAGTGCCCTGCAGCTGCAGGAAGCATTGAGGCGTCGGGGCCTTGCCTTAGTCTTTGCCCAGTCGTGCAGCTGGGCAGCCCATGAAAAGTATGTGTGCAAGCTGTTCAACCATCTGGCGCGCGATCCCCCTCCTGGCATGGCCCGGTGCTCAGTGTCACAACTGGCAGAAGCAGACAGGCAGTGCTGGGTTCGCATGATCCAGCAGGGGGTGAGCCCCCGAAAATCAGCCGATGGCACTTTTCCCATCGACAATGAGCTGGAGAAAGCCCTCGAGTCGTACGAGGTCTCGTTCACTCTCATGCCAAAGCTTTCCAAAGATGCCCCTAAAAGGCCAGGCAAAGGTGGGAAGAAGAGAACCAGCTCTGGCGGCAAGCAAGCTGATGGTCGTGGAGATGGCAAGAGCAAATTCCTGAAGACGGGAAAAGGAGCAGGGAAAGAGCCTCGCCTGCCCAAGGAATTTGTTGCGGCTGGCGCCTCAGGCACAACGCCTGACGGCTGCGAGGTATGCTTCGGATATAGTCTTGCCACGTGCACCAACAAAGACTGCAAGCGTGCTCATGTCTGTGCCAAGTGTTTCGGGGCGCACCCGCTCAAAGATCACAAGTGACTATCGGCCGCTCAGGTGACCCAGGTGGAGATTGAAGGAACCCGTGACGGCCGCGTCAGTCATGGCGCTGCCGGAGGTTCCGCAGTTTTGGTTGCCCGTGTGTCGTGCGTTGCTAGTAATGTTGAGGCTGCGTCCTGCGCGGCCAGTAGTGACAATAAGTTGCGTGGGTGGTGTGCAGATCAGAGCCAGTCAAGTGTCCAACCAGTTGCTGCTGACAAGGCGGCAACTGGGTGCTCGTCGCCTTTGCAAGATGGTAATTCCAACAAAGGAGCAGATTCGCAGTATGAATCGACGCAGGATGCCTCCATGGAGTCATGCTCTGTGGGGCTTCTGTCGCACAATATGAGTAGCAGCGTGCAGAGATCTCCAACAGATTGCGAGCCCGCAGAGCCGGGCGAGAAGCAGAGATCCTTGCACGTAGCCCGGGCCTTGGGCCCGCCAGTTTTGTCAGGTGAGTCAGTTGTGCCGAACGTGTCTTCCCCGTCTGTGCCTGGGGCGCTCTCCTGTGCGTCGGGCAAAAGCGCCCAGCCCACGAAATTGCCTCAGTGTAATGCCAAAGTGGTGATAACTTCGCAGTGTCTGGCCCCAGCAGAGCAGAAAGCTTCTGTTGGGCGCGAGCATGTGTGCACTTCCAAGCAGACCCCCAACGTAAGCGAGGCTTGGAAGGATTATCCTGTTGTCATCGAACTTTTCGCAGGTACTGCCAGGGTGACGGCGTGCTTGAGAAATTTTGGAGTTCGAGGGTCTTTCGGGGCCGACATGGACTCGAGCAAAGCCTGCTCCAAGTGCCTATGCGTTGACTTGACCACTGCTGCAGGCCAAGAACTTTGCTTGCTTTGGCTGTCATCGCCCAGAGTTATAGGTGTGTTCATGGCTCCTCCCTGCGGGTCCGCCTCAAGGGCTCGCAAAGATGATGGTGGGCCGCCAGCACTTCGTTCAGAATTTTTCCCCGATGGAAAACCGGGGTTGTCCCAGCTTGATGCTTTTAAAGTTTCGCAAGCCAATGCGTGTTACGGCTTCGTAGCCACCGTAGTGCAGTGGTGCGCGCAGCATTCCAAGATCTTTGCAGTTGAAAACCCTCATCGATCCTTCTTCTGGCTCACCTCGTATTGGCAGTCAGTTGCGCATCTCGCAACCTACGTCAGGTTTGACCATTGCGCGTATGGTGGCCAGCGTCAGAAGACAACTGCAATCGCTCACAATTGCACCAGTTTTGAGTCTTTGGCAAAATTTTGCCCTGGACAGACTTGCGCGGAGCAGCATCTTCCCTGGGGCCCATCAGCAAGCGCTCCCAATGGATATGCCACATCCGAAGCGACTGCGTACCCCCCTAGGCTGGCTGCGGCAATCGCCTTGGCATTCTTGAGGGGCATGGCTGCCAAAGGGTGGTCAGGCTCGCAGGTTTCCCTTTGCGCGAGTGAGGAGAAGCTGGCAGCAGCAGCAGAAAGAGCCATTGCAGGCATCCAGAGCAAAGCGTCCAGGTTCCCAGCCCCTGTGTCGGAGCATGAGCGCGTCATTGTTTTGCGGTCTCGCTTACCGCTTGCGTTGCCGTGTCAGCCCGGGGAGCGTATTGAGCAACCGTTTGATGTGCCTTTGCACGTGACAGCGCGACCTGCGTGCCGTCAGGTTCCCGCCAAGAGCCAACTTCTGAGGTCGGTTCCAATTACGGTTAAGCTGGGGGTTCGTGAAGTAGGCAAGTCTTGCGGCAGCTCACCTGAATATGGCCATGAGCAAGCGTGGGGTGTGCCGCACTCCGAAGAAGGATTTGTTGAAGCGGCAGTGAAAGCAGGGCACCCGCAGAATTTCAGGGAGCTGCTACCAGAGGTTCTCGCAAAAGCAGTGTCTCTCAACAAGTCCATGAGCTTAGAAAGCCTTGCGCGCATGAGAACTGTGTGGATGGCCAAGTGGGCCAAGCGGGCCGAAGAACTCAAGGGTCAGGAATCCAGTTTTAAGGATGCGTTGCACCCCGCCTGCAAGGAGATCCTGGCGCCCAAGCAGTTGCTGCTCTTTAGAGAGATACTAGTAGAGCGTAATTATCCTGATCTGGGCGCATTTGAAGAGTTGGCTTTTGGGACCGAACTTACAGGTGAAGTTCCTGCCACAGGAATTTTCGCGCCTACTTTCAAACCTGCAAAGTGCACCGCTGAGTCCCTCAAGTGCAACGCAGTGCAGCTCAGACAGGACGTGCTCAAGAAGGTGAGGCCTCTTGGGGAGCTAGATGAGGCTGTCCTGAAAAAAACCCTAGAAGAAAGGGATGCAGGGTGGCTGGAGGGTCCCATTCCACTGTCAGAGCTTGAAGAGCACGCAGTTCTTAGCCGAAGGTTTGGTGTAATGCAAGGCCCGAAAATGCGTGTGATCGACGATTACTCCATGAGTGGCGTGAACTCAGCAGTGCAAGTCTCAGAGTCGCCCAAGCCGCATGCCACTG